TAATGTCATGTGATTAAGGGTTCTTCTCAAATCTTTTTCCACTCCTAGAGCCAAAGAGCCTAAAATCCCACCATTTGGTATTTGTCCTTTGTGAGTATGCATCATTAATACTTTTTTCTTTTAAAATGTAAATACCTTTGGTAGAAGTAATATTAACACCCCGTTAGACTTGTGTCTTTGTCTTCTCTGAGAGCTGGAGGATAGAAAAGCCTTCCAACTGGAAAGTTTGCATGGAAGACGTGATGATGTGTTTTGAATTGGCCTGCAGAGCCTGGAGCTGCCTGACCCTTGGGGAATTCTGGGCACCATGGATACAGCTTGGGGGGCGGGGAGTGGGTGTTCCTAGAAGGGGCTCCAGAAGGGAAGATGCTAAAAACAACCCTTGACATATTGTTTTGGGCAGGTCCTCATCTTATATTTACCTGTTCCTGTTTTTTTTTTCTCCTTCTTTATCAGGAAGTGACAAGTGACCCAAGAAACAAGTTTAAGCCTTCTGACCCTCAACTGTAGTCCTAAAAATATTCCCTAATTAGATAATAGTATTTTCACACACTGCTGGCAGGACTATTAATTATAAGGGCATTTTGCAGTATGTATCAAATACCTTGAACATACGTATATTCTTTTTGATTATCAATTGCATCGCTAGGATTTAAACCTAAGGCCACAATCAGACAAGTACAGACATATATGGGTATAATGATTGCTATGGACTGACTTGTGTCCCCTCACCAAATTTATACATTGAAGCCCTACCCCTTAATGTGACTTTATCTGGAGACAGGGTCTTTAAGCGGTGATTAAGGTTAAATGAGGCCGTAAAGGTGGGGCCTTAGTCTAATAGGACTGTGGCCTTATAAGAAGAGGAGAAGAGATACATCTTTCTCACTCCGTACCATGTGAGGACACAGTGAGAAGGCTGCCATCTACAAGCCAGGAAGAGAGTCTTCACCAGAAACCAAATCAGTGAGCACTTTGAACTTGGACTTTCCAGCCTCTAGAACTGTGAGAAATAAATTTCTTACATAAATAAATTACCACCCAGTCTGTGGTATTTTGTTATGGCAGCCTGTGCTGACTAATACAATGATTTATAACAATATTGCCTACACATACGGAAAAACTGAAAATAGCAGAGCAGTAGATACAGCAGCTATGGTATAGGTCTACAATGGAATACTATACATATTTAAAATGATAATATAGATGTATATTTATTGCCATGGAAATAGGTTTATGATGTTCTTAAGTAAAAAGCAGATTAGAGTATAATTTCATGTATATAAATACATATATGTGTATATGCTTGCATTAAAAAATGTGGGAAAGCAGCATGTGTGTATAAGTCAATGTTCTCCAGAGAAAGAGCACCGATAAGAGATACATGTATATGTATATTTCTAAAGGGATTGATTATAGGAATTGGCTTACGTGGTTATGGAAGCCGAGAAGTCCCACAAGCTGCCATCTGCAAGCTGGAAAACAGGAAAGCTGGTGGTATAATTCGGTCTGGGTCCAGGGTCCTGAGAATCCAGGGGCTGCTGGTGTTAAGTCCCAGAGTCCAAAGGACTGAAAGCCTGGAAATGGAGCTCCAAGGGCAGGAGAAGATGGACATCCCAGCTCAAGAAGAGAGAGGGAATTCAGCCTTCTATGCCTTTTTGTTCCATTTAGGCTCTCAGTAGATTGAATGATGCCCACCCATGTGGGTGAGAGTGATCTTCTTTACTCAGTCTATTGAATCAAATGCTGATATCTCCCAGGAACATCCTCACAGAGACACCCGGAAATAATGTTTTCCCAGTTCTCAGGGTGTCCTTTCTCCCAGTGAAGTTGACACATAAAATTAACCAGCACGATCTGCCAAAATATTAGCGGAGTTACCTCTGTGTGGGTAGTTGGATAATGGGGAGATTTTTTTTCTTCTATTTGCCTTTAAGTCAATTCTAGACTTCACTATCATGTTTGACCAAGAATCATAAAAATATTAAAGCTTATAAAGTTAGCCAGCTACTCCCCCTACAGCAATTCTATTGACTGTTGAACAGGGCTAGAATTAGAAAAGTAATTTTTTCAGTCTAAAAAAACAAGATGCAATAAATTACATATTTAAGAAACTGGCAAAGACCAAAAACATCAGAAAAATCAAGAAAATACCATATTATTATTAATTGTACTTCTATAACACTATCTTCTTATGCTTTTAAGCTGCATATTCTTTGTTCTCCTCTTCATTAGACAACGATTCTGTAATATAATTTTTCTATAGACCAAAAGTTAATTTAGTCTTTCCATGCGGTGGGTGAAAATTTGATTTCAAAATATTGAGGTAATTACTTTCAACCTCTCAGTGCATTATCGGTAATGTCATGTAATTTTTCAGAATTGTTGTCAATTTGGAAAAACCTCCAAGTTTTTCAATGTGTGAGTTGGTAATGTTTCAGGCAGTTCATTTTTTCTTTTCCAGTGATTCATCTTAAGTATTCTTAGAATCGATGATACTAGTTAGCCAACTTGTTAACCAGTTTCTTACTGACATCCTGCAATGTGGCATATTACCCTCATCAGTGTCAATATTTCAGATGAGGACAGCAAGAATTGTAAGTGCTTTTCCATTGTATTTGTATGATCCATTCTACCTCATCATTGGATAATCAGACAATATAGGAGCCTGGTCATTGCTTTTATTTGGCATTCATCTCTTCTTCTGAATAAATTATTGCTTCTAGTATAATATGAAATTTGATTTTACAGTTTGCTTATTGATGTCAGAAAATTTCCCATTGATTTTTAATTGCTTATATTTATCTCTTTTTTATATTTCATTAATTTTACGTACTTTTCTGGTTTTTTTTTAATATGTAAGTAAAATTAGAGATGACAATAGATGGGCTCTTTATGTACAAACCAATCGGGAGCCTGTACTATCTATCTTTTATTGAAATATCCCAGAACATATTTCCAAATAGCAGCTAAAATGTCATATCCAAGCTTTATGAAAGATGCCATTCCCACTCCCATTAACAAAGAAAATATTCCTCATGGCACGTTTCTAATTGTATAAGCTGAATTTTTAATTTCATTCCTGGCAGCTGAGAATCCTGTTTTGATAAGACATAAACAACAACTAAATCCTCTGCTTACAATTTTACTTGTGTGATGATCCGAAGAATTTTCAAAGATTAGCTTCTGGGCCGTACATTCAAACCTTTCTCCTCCGCCATCCTCCTAGGTTTGGTGCCGAGCAGCAGAGGAATGTTCGTGTTTGGCGACAGTGTCCCTTGTCAGGTGAGTTAGCATGGTGGGTGGTAGGAATATCCCATCATACAGCTAGCAATAATGACTCTAGAGAGAAGTGACTGCAAGCCACATATATATATATCCCACTATACAAAGATATCTCTGATTAATCTTCCTTTGCAAGCTCCCCCTAAATGCCCACACCTACTGCTATCAGACGTGAAGGGACTGAGGGGAAGTAGGGTTGAAAAGAGACAGTGGTCTTAACCATTTTGGTTAAACTGTCCCACTTTTGCAAACGTTATTCCAATCTTTCCCCGTGTGAACACGTTGCTAGGGCCCCTGCTGGGCCTTGAAAGGGGACAGTAGGTGCGCGGCCTTGAGCTTTTACACACTGACTTCCTGGCAACTTTGCCTCAGCCTCCCCCCCACTCAGCACCATCTAAACCCTCATTCTCATTCTGCTGGGTTAGTGCCATCGCCTCCTGTTTCTCTTTGTCCCTTTCAGTTTCTTCTTAACACAGGGCCCAGAGTGATCCTGTAAACATAGAAGTCAGATTGTGTCACACCTCTGCTCAAAAGCCTGTGATGTTTTCCCATCTCATTTCAAGCAAAAGCAAATAGTCCATATGGCCCTGCATGACCTGGCCCTTTGCCCTTCTAACCTCACTTCTTGATATCCAGCCCTTCCTCATTGTACTCCAGCCTCCTACAGTTTCTGGAATAGCCAGGCATGCTCCCAAGAGGGTCTTGCATTTACTGTTCATGCAGCCTGGACCCTCTTCCCAGATGGTCTCATGGTTCCCTCTCTCACCTCCTTGCTTGACCTCCCCTCACTCCTCCCTGTTTCTCCTCCGTGCTCAATATTTCTCCATAGAACATATCACCACCTAAATACTATGTTATGTCTATTGTCTGTCTCCCTCCTGTAGAATGTGAGCTCCGTGAGGTGTGGGTCTTTGTTTTGTCTACTGCCATGTCCTGTGCCTAGAACAGTGCCTGACACATGACTGATTTTTGGTAAACACAGGGGTCTCTGCCTTTAACTTTCCCTTCTGTAGCCCCACCAGAAGCCCACAGGACCACCTTCTGAGAAAGACCAGTGAAAGTACACTTACTGGAAGGCCAGTTTCCCTAAAAGAGAAGAGCGAAGTTGAAATAGTAACAGGGTTTTCTAGCATTTGAGCAAGTGGTGTTTATAACGAATTGTCTTCTGGTGAAGTGAATCACCAGAGGATTTGATCACTGACCTGTTGCACCTCCTCCCCCTGCCCCCGAAGACATAATCCAGGGTCATCGTGGCAGTAATAGGAAATTGCAAAATCATGTATATAGTTTCCCTTCCCAGTTCAAAGGAAAAAATACAAATAAAAAGACAGAAGAAAATGAGACATTTGAAATGCTTGTTCTTATCTTCTCATTTTCATGTTTCTCCTGACAGAATAAAATGAACCAGAAATATTACAGAAAAGCAAAAAAAAAACAGGCTGTTATTAGAGCATCTCGCTTGGTCAGAGAAGTGTTGGCATCCTGGTGTGACAAATGCGCTTAGTGCCAGGGATGGCAATATGGCTTGTAAATATAAAATGTTTTAAGATGTTAACATAATGCAACATTTTCCAAAAGGTTAAAAAAGACAAGTAAAAGTAATTATAATCCCTCCACTATGACAGAGAAGCTAGTACTTTGATGTATTCTTGTCTAATTTTTTTTCATATGCATGTACTTTCTCATTGTGGTAAAAAAAAAACACACAATATAAAATTTATCATTTTAACTATTTCTAAGTGTACAGTATAATAGCATCATACACACATTTTTATATATATGTTATATTTGTACTTTTTGTATGCTGATTTTTTTCTCACTCTACCTCATATCAAATAAATCTTCCATGTGGCAAACTTGTCTGCATGCTTGTAATTTTAAAGATGCATAATATTCTATCCCATGGCTATCACATATTTTATTCAGCCATTCACCTATAATCGAACCTTTATGTTGCTTACAATTTTTCACTCTTCAGAATATTTAGTGAATATAGTATTTTTCTCTTTAGCATTTTCAATGATCTTCCTAAGATAAATTTCTAGAAGTTTCCTAGGGAAAACAAAGTCAAAAGTGATGACTCTTAAAAATTACAATAAAATTGCTTTCCAGTAGGTTTGTACCAATTTACAATGATGCCAGTGAAATATTAGAGTACCAATTCACCACATTCTCGTTGGCATTTGATGATACAACCTTTTATTTTGCTAGTGTAACATTTTTAAAGGTTTTTAAATTTTTCGCATATATTTTCCTATATTGATTTTCCTTGATCATTTTCTTCTGTTGGGAAATGCCAGTTCATGTCACTTGCGCAGTTTACGTTTGGGAGGTTGTTTCAATATTTTTCTTGTTCCTTTTCACGGGTTATATATATACTCGAGATTTTAACCCTCTATCATATCTACTGTGACTGTTGCTCCCATCTACTTGTTTTTAATTTTTGGTCATACTGTCATCTAAAGCAATTTAACATTCTTATATGGTTCAGATCTTTCCAATGTGACTTCTCCTATCACATGTCTTCTCAGAAAATTCTCTCTATGGCCTCATCTCAGGGCTTTAATAAAGGATTTAATTCTCCTTTACCTTCCTCATTGTATTTTCTACATCTAATTAATCAATCCATTCATTCTGATGTATGATAGGTCAAACTGATCCGTTCCTGAAATGCTAAGGTAACCAAGACCCCTTCTTTAAATATGTTTGAAGGAAGCCTCGAATAAGTAAGCCAGTAGGCCCATGCTCTATGGAAAGTTCTCGTGTGCTGGGGCACAGTTCCAGGTTCTGTGAGAGCGAGGTAAAAGGGACAGCCCCAAAGGACTTAGAACATGGCGTGGCTCTGGAAAAACAGAAAAGTGGCGGTAAACGGAATGAAGTGCGGGACTGCACCTCAGTGTCCGCTGTTTGCTGTTTTTACCTTGCCTTTTCCCTTCATAAACATAAACACTGGGGGAATGAAAGCACTTCCGAACATTAAAGGCCACTTGACCCAGAGGTCTTCCTATCTTGTTAGAGTCCTTTTAAGTTTCCGGGATTGAGGGCTCTCGTTGACTTGAGCACTCGTGTGTGGAGCGCTGTGCTAGGCACGCTGGGTGTGCTTGTGTGGGAAGCCAAGTGATAATAGCCCTGGGGTGACCACGAGTTCTGTCGAGTAACGACAAAGATCAAAGGGAGATGAGAAGATAAATCTAGGCAGATAACCGAATCGATATTGCTCGGCTGTGCGGCGTCGATGGCGTGGGGTACGCACTGTCACTGTCAAGGGTTGCACCCACTCCCTGAACCGCCCGCCGCCGCCCCTCCGCCCTCTGCACAGTCGGTGGAAGCCTCTGCCCACACAGACATGATGCTCCTCTTGCTTTACTGCACTCCGTCAAGTTCACACAAGCCAAGTTCACACAAGCTCCGTCTCACAGCTTTTCTAAGGGTCATAAATCCTGGGGGAAAAGCCACGTGCACTCGACTGGGCGTCAGAAGAGCGGGTCCCCGGCTGCTGCCCACTAGCCTGAAAACCGAAACGACCACACTGGGGAGGCACGTCTGAGCCCCTAGTCCTGGTTCCCACCTGCCCACTCAGGGACGCGGTTATCATTCTCTCTCGGTGCTCACAGCATGCAGACCACAAACCCGTAACCTCTCGTTTTTGTTCTTTGCTGGGACCGTGTACGGTACTGCTTGACTTTGCATCTTTTAACTGGCAGGCAGGTGGTGGGGAACGCGCGGTACCTCTGCGTCATCCCCAATTTGGCCTGTAGGCAAACTGTTACTTTCATCTTGGACAAGTAAAAGGATCTGGCGTTCATTTCTCCAAATCTATCAATAGTGAGGTCCACCTTGGCAGACTCGCTCTCAGGGAAGTCCGGTTACTGCTTCCCTCCAGGACAACCTCCTCCTTCCCACCCTCCACTGGGCATTCCTCCTGGGGGCGACTTCGCCTCACTCCCTCCCACTGCCGGGCGGGACTCCTGAAAATAGAAGTAAGTGCTCCAGCAGAAAGGCCCTGGGGTGCCCGTGGCCCTCAGGGCGCGCAGTGGACTCTATGAAGCGGGTCGTCCCCTCCGCGGGCCCGCGCCTCCCGTGTGGGGTGCGGAGGGCCGCGGAAGGAGTGAGAGTGGCGCCCTGTGACTGATCGTCGCGGAGAAAGTCCCCCGAGACTGTTTGTTTTTTTTTTAAGGCAGCCAAGAAAAAAGTTTTATTTGTGACCCTTGCGCTGGAGGCGGAGCCGATGCGCAGGAAGATACAGTGATGGGACCGGGAAGAAACCACTAAGCCCAAACCACTCACTTGTATTTCTCACTCTGAGTTCCCCGAGAGCAGCCAGACTCCACCGGCTGCGCCGCGCGTCCCTGACCCCCACCCGCCCCGGCATCCTCTGTGGGTGGGCTTCGCGTTCCCTTCGGGTTTCGCAGCCACCACGTGACTTCCACGAAGAGCGAGGCCCCAGCGGAAAGCTGAGACAGGGGTGGGATTTGGGACCCCGAGGTGCGGCGAGCGGAGGAAATGAGGCGGGTTGGGAGAGGGAGGGGGCGGGGCAGACTCGGGGACGTGAAGGACGGCGGGCAGGGACGGGGGGTGGGGAAGCCGGGAAGACTCGCCGCTGCTG